CTACACTTGAAGACGGCCTCAAATTTCATATAACAAGATTTGATGGCTTTAAGAGTCGCTTCACTATCCACGAAGATAATCACCGGTTCAACGACCTCTGCATCCAGATTTTTATCAATTCCGCTGCCTTCCAAATCGCGAAGATTTCAGCTTAGAAAACACTACAGTTGCAATCCAGCTTGTAGGTTAACTCAAGGCCTAGCCTTTCACAGTAGACGCCTGCCTCTGTACCTTCCTCCATCTTCGATCCGTCTGTATAGAACGCCAAACCGTCCAGAGGAGGGCTATTTCGGTTCCAGTCTTCTCTACTAGGAATAACGACATCTACATTGTCAAATGTTAGGACTGGTCATATTTAGTCGCATAGTTTTACGCGTTGGTCCAATGTTGTACCTGCCTCGTTCAAGATACGACCATATGCAAAGGTACAACTTCGCAAGAGGTTTTGTTCATGCAGCCTTAGGGCACTACGTGCGGCCTGACCCTTAATGCTGAGGCCCAGAGGCTTGTGGCGTACTCCTCCTGGCTCCTGTAACCTCTTTGTACCTTATCTAATTTACTGATTCCTTCAAAATCCCATTGGGAATTATTGCCATTGAAATTTCAGATTCTGATTACGAAGAAATCTCTTCATCCTCAGCAATTGACTTTCAAAGTTGGGTAACTTTCTATATTTAAAAAGGGACTATGATGTGTAACCGGTGCAGACATTTGTCTATATTATAAAGTAGCGTACCAAATTTTTGCATTTATCTATATGAGAAAGTGTTATTAAATTCACGAAGTCCCGGTCACCTAAGCGCAAAACCTACATACGTATGGTTATAAACAGAATTGAGCTGGGCAATTATCTATTATATTTCGTATATTTCAAAAAGATTGGAACATGATCCAGATCGTTTCTGTCCATATATATTGAAAATGTTCTGGCATCCTTTCTTAGCTTATTGATGTTGGAGCCTATTATTTTCAACAGACTTTTTTTGCTTCTATCTGTGGTCCTATTTTGTGTAGCAGGTATGTTTTACTATCCGGATAAGTTCAACAAGGATAGATTATATTATTATTTTCTCTGAGCTATTATTACTTCTTCGTAGATGACGTTGTAATTTTGTATGACTATTTAGCGGCTATTTTCCTTGCCCTTCGACATATATCAAAATCTTGAGTATCTAACATAACCCATAAACTCCACAATGGGTTCCCTGACTCTTCGTGTGATGTTGAAGCAGGTCAGCTGTTGTAGTTGCAGGTGTTATTATGCTTCAAATAAAATATATAAATAACTAGCGGAGGTCTTCCAGGCTGCTCTTTTTCAGGACAAACTGATCGCACATTATTGTGGTATTTCATAAACATACTTACGAAAAAATTCGTAAATTAAGCAGACATATATACATACCATATGTTAGCTATGATTCCCCTTATAACAATGTTCGACTGTACTTTCGATCTTTAAACATTTATTTATATATATTTATGTGATAATTTATAACAGTTAACTGGTATTATCAACGTCTGATAAGGAAAAAGAGAAGTTGATAGAAGACCGGAAGCTCGATTATTTATTGCTTGTAAACTCTTTTTTTAATATGTTCAAACATTTTTAATAATTAAAATAAAATTGAAGGTAATCGTTTGATTTATTTAAATAATTTAAATTATAGAAATGGTTTATTTTTCATTTTTTCTGTCTACACAAATTTGATATTTTATGCAAATGCCCCAACTAAGAACAGTCATTATTTTTGAAACATCAAACCTGAAATAATTGTGATTCTAACCTATTAAGCAACCGCAACGTAAGCAAATCCAAAAAGGGGAATTCCCCTATTTACATTGTATATTCGTGATTTAAAGACATTTAAACGATGTATACTCAATATATCAATTACCAACCAATAATGAGGAATTTTCATAATCTTGTTAACCAAATAGCAAGTATCTCTCTCTTTATGCTGTTGAAAATTGTATTGTCTTTGAAAGGAAGATACAAAGGCAAAAACAAAGGTTTGAAAAAGTCATTGTTCAAATGTTGCTGCTATCCCAGTGTTTCTATGTAAATGAGGGAATTCCCCGTCAAATGAAATTATTAAAAACATGAAAAGTCCACTTACTGCCTACTATGTAGGAACAGTATCTCAAAGCTTTTTTATTTAAAGTAAAATCCCTCATGGGGTTATACCTATTATCCCGACATTGCCATCACTTACATGTTAAATTTTGTTTCGATCTGTCAACTCCTTCATATAGAAATAGGTGTTCAAAAAAGACGCATTCGCAATTTTTTGCAATGAATGCACGCAGTTCTAATTATTTTATTGTAAAAAATTGTGGATGCGCCTTTTTTGAACACCTTTATCTATATATGAAGGAGTTCCCAGATTGAAACAAAATTTAACATGTGTTCATTACAGAGATGGAAGTTTCCAAAACACTTAACATTTTCCTGTTTATACCGCGCTAGGCTAAAAACTTTCCGAGCTTCCCTCGTAAAAGAAGTTAGTGTTAAGTGAGTGAGTGACCGACAGATTATCGCCCAGGCGAAACGGCTGAATCTAGAAGCTTGACTGACAGATCATCGCCCAGACGAAACGGCTGAATCTAGAAGCTTGAAATTTTAAGTGTGGATTGTTGTTGACGTGTAGGCGTGAGATAAGGCTAAGTTTTTGGAAATTCGAACTAGAAGGTTACAAGTAGTACTAAAATGTACTAAATACCCTTTGTAGTAAGCAAACGAAAAGAGCTAGAATTCTGAAATTTGGAATGAGACTAATGGAAATCTAAAAAGATGCACAAAAGAGTTTTTGGAAGTCTTGGATTTGGGTGAAGGGAGAGGCCCGGCAAACGTTGTCTTGCATAGAAATATTTTTGATGTATAATTCACATAACGATAGCCCAATATTAAGTTAGTTTTTTCTACCCTCCACGATTTGAGATAGTGCTCTGAAATGTGCACATACATTGCTACTACTCCTAGGATATTTGGTTTGAAAATGTTCAATATTAGTTCACTATTTAAGGCAGCCCACATATAACGGTACTTCGCAATATGATTTTTCTGTACAATTGATTGGCGCATGTTTCGGGGTACCGCCCATATAAAGGTAGCATTCCGTATTTTATTTTATGCACAGTTATCAACAGAATTGCTTTTAATTTAATATATTGGATACTTATTGGGCAGAAAATCTCTCTACTTAAAATTATCCATATTGGCTCAATTATGCTGGTAACCCCTTATTCGGTATTTGGCTGTAATTTTGTATTTTGGATGATCATTGAGTACAAAATGTTCCTAAGAAAATTTGCCCAAGCTTCCGAAAAGACTCTATATATTGGCAGTCCACTTAAACGATCCTTTGGTGATTGGGGCACGTTTTTCAACCTAATCAGCTGTAATTGGTTGTTTTATTTGGTAGCATGAATCCTACAAAAAATTGTCAATATTGGCACACTCTTCAGTATTTTGGGGTTTAATTTTATATTTTAGATGATCAGTGAGTACAAAATCTTCTAACAAAGATTTATCAATATTGGACCAATATGGTAGCACTCATATAATGGTATCCCCCATAATGTCTCATGTGGTGTCAAATCTTTCTACCTAAAATTAATATATCTCCATTCTCACTGTAGTAGCTAAAATATATCATTCCGGGATATAAAATATATCATAAAATATATCATTTTTGCGAAAAATTATTTATTTAGGTCCAAGTTTTGATATAACTATAATCAGGTCTCGACCCATTTTCTGTGTGGTAAAGACATTGTTTTCTCTTATAAAGTTGGCTTTAATTAGGCATAAGGATTTCTATGAATAAAAAACATCATCCCAGAAATTATGCACTATAGCTTAACGTTTTAAAAATACGCCATAATTATTTCCCGTTCAATTTTCGGTATGTTGAAGTTCTTACCCCCGTTTTCCAACCTGTGTGTTATCGGTAGTTGGCATGTTCAATACGAATAGGTAACATTGGACGGAGGTTTTGTTATAACCTTCAAATTAGATATTATGTCTTGGCTATTTTTCTAATATTGCTGCTTTTGTTAGTTGTTCTCTTTCCAGTTGATACACATTTTTGGTATCGGATATATGCAAGGTGTTCTGTTTATAAATTCAAAGATATTGAAAAACGATTAGGCATATAACCACCTGATTTGATATTTCCCGTGGCATATCAACATTTCAGGTACTTTAAGGAACAACATGTTCCTATCATTATTATTATTGTTTTCAAAAAAATTAATCTAGGGCATGTAGAGAAAGAGAAACATATAAAGAAATTTTGCAACAACATATCTAAAATATAGAAGATATTGGCGTTTAAGTCATGGGGAGGGTATAAAAAGTTCGATGTTTTTACTTGTTAATAAATTACTTTAATAATTTAACTGTGTGTTCGGTACTCACTTCTCCCTGTATACATGGTTATCCCTTAATGGTTTATTTTATCAAGACATATTCCCAGATCATATGACATTTTATATTTCAACCAGAGGCAATATTTTCTGCAGTCCCTCTTTTTTATCGACGACGGCAATTCAATTTAGAGTTAGTCTTTAACACTTTTTCTCTTGATCTCATCAATGAGCTGTTTAATTTTGGTTCCAGTGTTAAAATATTCCAATGATAAGTTAGTAATACCAAACTTTGGGAAATCATGATCATATTCCTAATTTGTCTGTAAAAAATTGGAACATTTCAAAATTGTACCTTCTAGTCAGGCAATTAAATCAAAACGCCCCTGCTTTTGTTATACGAAAAAGAAATTCAATTTTATTTCTTAGTTACCTAAAGATTACATAGTGTGTATATATAGGTTGTTACTTTTAAGTACATTTTGATTTCAGCTGTTTATATAAATTATAAATAAATATAGAAAAAATAATATATAAATATAGTAAATCTTACAATTAATAATCAAATGTGATTTCGCCAAATGGTGGTCAGCGCAGGCTCTCCTGAAGAAGACTCTGATGAAAAATTATTGTTAACACGAGTTGGTGATTGAATTGAAATTATTATTAGCCACAACGTCGTTACTGGCATTCGAAATGCGACTGTGCCTTGATACAATTCCATTGGTGGTATTGTCGACATCGACAGAATTCGAAGAAGTAGAAGAAGAGGTAACATTACAACCACCACCGCTAACAATACCTGTTCTCAATGTGGTGTTATTACTATTACTGCTATTCTTGGTGTTGTTGTTGCTATATTTATGGAAACTATTAATGTCACCATAATTAACAATGTTATTGTTGTTATGCACGTTTGTGCCATTGTTTATGACAGATTCAACTCCTGATGGTTGTTGTTGTTGCTGATGTGGTGTCGTCAATGGTGTTGGCGGCGGAGGTGGTGGGGTTGGGTGTTGTTGTCCTACTACCGATAAGGTTGACGATGGTGGTGGTGGCACATGCAATTGTAAATGCCCTTTTGGAGACATTATGGCTGTGATAGGCTTAGAGGATGTGACATTGGAATTTATAATATTATTGGTTGCTGGCCGATGTTGTTGTTGTCCTATTACATCCTTGTGGTCATGTAGTACAGTATTTGAACGCATGGATGAGGCCGTAGCAATGCCATTTGTTGTTGTTGAATGCAAATGTGTGGGCAGCAATTGCTGTTGTTGCTGATGGACTTGATATTGTGTATTGTGGTGATGTTGTTGCTGCTGCTGAAGGTGTTGTTGTAGGTGGTGATTATGATTGTGCTGCTGTTGCTGCGTCTGGTTATGTACTTGCTGCTGATGATACAAATTCTGCTGAAGATTCGTTATCATTGATGTTGTTGCTGCTGTCGGATGGTGGTGGTATGCCGTTTGACCCATTAAAGAACTCATAAAACCATTAGCCACAACAAAACTCCTGAAAAAATATATAACACAGTTATAAATCATTTGAATTAGAAAATCATTAAATAATTAGTATTAGTTTTATAGTCGTTTTGTATACAGTCGGTAACAAAAGACACACGTACATTTGTATAACAGACAGACAGACGGAAAATATATTTTTTGATGGGAATTTTGTGCTGCTAAATGTCGTAAAATGCTTTTCGTGTTAATTTTATTACAAAACATAAATCATTTTTAGAACTATTTTATTTTGGGTTACTTTATTTATGGTTTTTATATATATTTTTTCTGTTTTTACTTCTGTTAGTTTTCTGCATTATTATTATTTGAGAGATTTTTTTAAAGATAAGAAAAGACCACTGGCTAGTCTTTAAAAATGGGGCTTTAAGAAAAAAGAAACCTATCTCCATGTTCGCCTTAAAAAAAATTAAAATTATGATAAGTCTTTAAGGGTAAATAATCTGAGTCCATTTTTGTCGAATTTTTACAGTTTCATTTCGAATAGACCAATGTAAGGTTTAAAATAAACTCCAGTTCAGTTCAGATCTTTAGGGTTTATGTCTTATGTGGCATAAAACATAGTTCTTATGTGGACTACGTGTAGATTCTAACGTTTCATGTTACCGTTTGAATAATTCTCCCCTTTTTATCAAGAATGTACTAATTTTATTATTACTGTCTGGTCTCTTTTCATCACCCGGACAATAATCGCTCATGTATAACAGACTGGATGTGTTTTAATGGGAATTGTGTGCTTCGAAATGTCGTATAATGCTTCGTTTGCATTCGTGTTAGTTTTATTACAAAACATAAATCATTTTTAGATTCACTGTATTTTGGGCTACATAATTTTTAGTTTTATTTCTAATTGTGTCATTTTCTGCATTATAATTTATATATATTTTAAGATGAGGATCGAGGATTTGGCGTGAACTTTTGCTGGAACTTCAAGGTAAATCAAATGTCAGTAACTTAGTTGGGGATATCCATGAACTCTACAAGGGATAGTAAGGATACACACACTGTTCGAAATGCTTTGAACAGAGATTTTGATTTGTCTGCTCTTCTTGCCGGTCGTCAGCATGCTCAAGTCTGAACAGAATTTTGTATTACAGAAGATTTAATCGTGTTTTACAAGTAAGATTCTAAAATTCCAAATACAACGCTGATAAGACAGTTGTTTTTGTTCTTCAGAATTTATATTAAGACCTTCAACGGCGGCACTGAATTCTACATCCCGAAAAGTACGAAATGAAATCTAGCATTTTTACGAGTAAACATTTTCATAAAGAATGGATATTGGCTTGGAAAGTCAATTTATAACATTAATCCACCCTCCTCTAAACGGTCTGGATTTTTATACAGACGGATCCAAAATGGAAGAAGGTACAGGGGCTGGCTGGCGTCTACTGTGAAAGGCAAGGCCTTGAGCTTACCTACAAGTTGGGTCGCAACTGTATAGTTTTTCAATTTGATATAAATTTTCAATTGATAAAATCAGAGATCGTTAAATCAGAGATCTTTAAACAGGTGACTATCTTTGTGGATAGTCAGGCGGCCCTTTTGAAGCCATCAAGTCCTTTAGCTTCAAGTCTGGGTTATGAAAAGCCGACACACTAGCTAGACGAGGACCTCAATATACAGATCTAGCAATCGATGACTCAATCAAACCACTCATCTGTCACCTTTTACAGAATTTTGAGGCGTTCTTTGACGAACGGGTCAATGAACTTTGACACAACGAACTTAGGTGCAAATTTTAAATGAGGGTCACTAATGGATTGTAGAATATATATAGCAAAGGGTTTTTTGTACATTCGAAGTTAAGGTTGAGAAGTATGGTCGATATAAGGAGATAGTTTTGGAAGTTTGTAGTCATCTATACGAAATGCACTAAACGGTTCTATATTTGGTACAAATTTAATTTGGAGGTACAAATCGAGCTGGAATCCGGAAATTTTAAATTGACATTACCTTCGGAGTGTAGGATTGGGATATATACGTACTTTTGGATTTTTACTTGTGTTTACGAAAAGTACTAAATCGTACTATAATTGGTACAATTTGGATTTGGGTGAACCAATAGAGCTGGAATCGTTACATATGGTGTTAGGATCATTGTTGGGGTGAAGGATTGGGGTCAGGATTCAGTTTAAGAAATTAATACTTATGAGTACTAAATGGTACTAAATTTGGTACAAATTGAATTTAAGGTGAATCTATAGAATCATGAAATTAGAATCACTGTTGAGGTGTAAGATTGAGATGTGTACTAAATTTGGTACAATTTAAATTGTGGGTGAAGCGATAGAGTTGGAATCCTGAAACTTGGATTTAGGATCACTGTGGGTTTGAAGGTTTGGGTTAAGTAGGAAGTTTTGGAAATTGGTACTATTGTGTACTAAATTTTGTACAATTTAAATTGTGGGTAAAGCCACAGAGTTGTAATCCTGAAACTTGGATTAAGGATCAGTGTGGGGGTCTAGGTTTGGGGTATATGAAGATTTGGAAATTCGTACTACTGTGTACTAATTTGTTGTAAAATCGGGGTATGCCGGAAGTTTTGTTGGATTATTTAGTAGGGTACTTATGGAAATAATGTGTGTTAAATAGAACTAAATTTGGATTTTGTTGAACCTTTAAAGCTCGAATCATGAAATTTGGTACTAAATAGTTCTCAAATTTAATTTATTGTCGATAATAATGTGAGGATTGCTTAATTTTTTTGACATGTGTAGTTTTCTATGAAAATAAATAATATGTTAATACATGTTTAAGTACTTCCCACAATCGCTAAAGAAATAGCGTGTATATATTAGTATTAAATATTTTCTGAAAATATATTTTTCACCCTCCTAATTTATGGTGCGTATACAAATATCTACCACCCACCTGTACTGCTGATCAATTTGAGCCTTTTCAATGCGTTTATCCTTGGCACGGCGATTTTGAAACCAGATTTTTATTTGAGTCTCCGACAAATTCAGCGCTTCAGCCAATTCGAAACGTTTGCTGCGCGATATATATTCGTTGCGGTGAAATTCCACTTCAAGACGTAATGTTTGTTCATTGCTGAAGGTGGTGCGTTGGCGGCGTTGTCTACCCTCTTTGCGGCGGCGGCGGGCCACTGAAACAAAAACCGATCAAAAGAATAAATAAAAAATGTAGATGCTATTATTAGAATTATAAAATATTATTTTAAAAACAAAATTTATTTATAAAATTTGAATAATATAAAATTGCAATTTTTAAATTTGCTGCTTATCAACCAACGACAAATCCGACATACCCTGCAATTATTATTACCCCCCAAAGGCTGCCACTAATACTCTTGAACATAATCATTTGTTTAGAATTGTTGTCTATTTCCTCTATACACTATGCCGATGGTGTAAATGATCTATTATTTTTTTTGTTATATTTTGTTGTTGTTTTTTGATATTGTTGCTGTATTTCAACAACTATTTAATAAGAATAAGAATCATTCTATTAATGCATAGAAACGTTTTTTTAGTAATACTGAGTAAATTTTAATAACGTCATGATATGCTTCTAAACTGCTACGTCATGGTTATATAGCTGGCTGGCTGGTTGATGGATCTACCCCTCTAGACAACTTAGCGACCGGCGATCCGTTCGACTGATCGGCCAACAAACAACAACAACCAATCAACAACCAGAGATATTTCATTGTTTATTTCAATTCGATGGCTATTTGGAATGAATCCAAAAAAGTAAAATATTTTTTTTTGCTTTCGTTGGTTTTTTGGTTTCTGAATCTGTAGAATATTGAAGTGAGTTAATTGAATACAAAAGAAAAAAGAAATTTTGTGTTTCTAAGTAAAGAAAAAATAAAATAAAATAAATGTGCTAATGGTTTTTGAAGAAACAAAATCTCTTAAATTTCATGGCTTTTTTGTCCTTATGTCTGCTAAAATTATTATTTAAAACAATTTTATAAATAAATTATATTTTTAAAAATTATAATTTTAAAAATTATTATTTTAAGAATTATTATTTTACAAATTATTATTTTAATTTTTTTAAATTATTTTTCAAAAATTATAATTTTAAAAAATTATTCTATTTCATTTTTGTTGAATTTTTTTTTAAAAAAGCCCTATTTCTAATTAAATAAAATGTATATTATATTTTTTAATTGTTTTTGCTTTCTTCTTCGTTCTCCTTTCTTTTATATTTTTTATTATCAATAATTTTTTTTTTTGAAATACAACTCACATCTAAATGAGATAGGTCCAATTGATCTTAATCATCATGATGATGATATTTCTTTTTTTTTGCAAACGGAATATTTTTTATTGTTAACCTTGAATCTCTAAGGCTTTTTTACGATTTTTTGTCCGTGTTTAATCTATATTCTATAGAGATGTTTTGCAAATAAAGCCAATACTACAAAAACAAACACAAAAAAAAAAAAAAACACACACACTGCAACGTGTAGAATCGCCTCCTCCGCATTCATTGAGATGATTTTTAGAATTTTTTGTCTTTCAAACATTTTTTTCAAACAGATATATTTCGAAGATGAAATATTGTATCAAGAAGAATAAAATGGAAAACAGTGGAACCATCTCCTACATTAATATTTAAAGCCTGCGGATTTATATTAGCGTTATTATTTGAGGGCTACATCGAAGACCAAGCCAATTTAAGCGATCTCATAATATTTGATGTTTCTAAAAATAGATATTTTATTTAATTTGAAAATTAAACTTTAAAAAAAATTATGTAAACTTATGAAGTCAAAATTTGTATACCCTCCAGAGTAGTATGATCGGTGAAGGAAATTTATCGTTCTAATCTGGGTAAAATTTAGAAGTCTCCGTCTGTCTTTTGCAATCATCCGAATGATACCGAACTGTACGAGGCGAATATTTATCATCAAAAAAGTTTTTCCATACAGGATGAGATAAAAAAAAACTGCAACAAAGTCAAACGCCATATTTTTTTATTTTTATTGCATGAAAGCAAAAATGTCGGAAATAGCATCAAATTTTAGAATCAGTTTAGATTTTTTCGAATTAGTCACCTTTGGCACACATTATGGCCTTCAAACGGCAAATGACAGGGTCACACGTTGCTCGAATGTTGCTCTGCGGTATGTTGGCCCATTCCCGGTGAAGCGCTTGCTTGAGGTGATCGACACTTTGGCATTTTTAGTGCCAACCTTGCTCTCCAAAATACTCCAGACACAATAGTCCAAAGGATTGGTATGAGGAGATTTCGGTGGCAATTGTGCGCCACAAATGAAGCTAGGAACCTCATTATACCCTTCACCACACTGTGGTACAGGGTATTATGTCTTTGTGCATATGTTTGTAACAGGCAGAAGGAAACGAGATAGACACATGGTTGCTTTTGAGAATATGCATAGAATCACTTTTTAAGTCGATTTATGCATGTCCGTGCGTCCGTCTGTCTGTCCATGTTAAATTGTAAACAAAGTACAGGCCGCATTATTGATTCGAATTGGATGAAATTTGGCACAGCTCATTTATTTGACCCAAGGACCCTATTGAAATTGGGAAACATCGCATCAGATTTAGATATGGCTCTCATATATATTTTCGTCCGATTTAATGTAAATGGTGAACGAAAGTCTCTATGTATCTTTCGATTTGCACGAAATTTGGTATAGTCCACTGAATTAAGTCTAGAGTGACGTGTGCTAAATTTCGTGAAAATCGGTTGACATTTATATATAGCTCTCATATATATTTTCGTCCGATTTAAGGTAAATGCACCAAAGTCCCTAAATATCTTTCGATTTGCACTAAATTTAACACACAGTATTGAATAAAGTCTAGAATTACGTGTGCTAAGTTTCGTGAAAATCGGTTCAGATTTAGGTATAGCTGCCATATATAATTTAGTCCGATTTATGGTAAATGGTGCACCAAAGTCCCTATTTATCTTCTATATGAAGGAGTTGCCAGATCGGAAAAACAATTTAACACGTGTTCCTAACAGAGATGGAAGTTTCCAAAACACTTGACTTTTTTCTCCTTATACAGCGCCTTTTGTGATTGGCTAAGAACTTTTCGAACTGCTCTCGTATCTAGCTCCTTTGGGACAGATTCTAAAATCTTCCAAGGATTTCAACGAATTTTTTTTTTTACAGTACATCAAGTTAATTAGACATTCAATTCGGTCGGGCCGAACTTTTTATGCCCTCCACAATTCAAACGATCTGTATCACCGAATGCCACTAAATACTTAAAAAACATAGGAATGCAAAATCCAAGCATTAAAAATGGAGAAGCTGGACATTTCTATGGGCTCAATGTAAAAACACGGACTTATATTGCAATGTGTTATTGTGATGTATGTTACGCTCTGAAACCGGGAATGTCGAATTACGGAAAAAGTGCGAGACATGTTGGAAGCTATGCAAAATCATTAACCGATGTTTATAATTTCCTTCATATTCCTTCTTCTATGTACCCCAAATCTCAAGTTAATAATTTCCAAATACCAAAATGGCACTAATACCTAACACATACTGTTTCCTCTGTCTAACAATAATTGTTAAAATATTTCATTTTCTCAGTTGAAAAATGAAACCCTTACAAAAATCTCAAGGATAATAGGCTAACAAGAAACCGCATCCTTTTTTAATTCACCTTCACTTTTTAAATATTTTTTATTAGTACTATACAACAACACGATGAAATGCATTTCCTATTTTTTCTTTCTTTCAAGAAATTCAGACAGGCAGAATCCCAAGAAATAATTACAAACGTAAAGAGTACACACAAACTCAATGTTTTTTCTTATGATTGGCTAACATCAGATTTCCTTGAATACAATACAATCATATAACCGAATCATAAGAAACGAGGAATCACAATTCAAATCCTTATTACAATACAAAATTTTTTAATTTATATTTTATGCTTCACAAAATTTTTATTTCCAAAAAAATAATATTTTCTTGCTTTGTTTGTTTGTTTGGCATAATAATACTAATAACAACAATAACAAAACATAATACGAATATCCCCCTCTCCCCTTTTGCACAACGAATATAGCTATCTTCGTATATCAGTCAGTAAGTGATGATGATGGTGGGTGGTGGTGTGTGCATCATCACACATTTTTCAAGTGACTAGTAAAGCTTCCTTTTCCACAAAACGACCAAAGTGATAGACAAACAAACATACACATTCACACGTATGTATAGATAGATGACTACAAATATTAAACCAAAAATATATACTCGTACCCGAATTGTACAAGAAATTTTCACACTGTCAAACAACAGATGTTGATATTGTGTGAAAATTCCCGGATCAGTTAAAAAAGATTTAATTGTTTCATAGTTTTGTGTGTGCCTGTCTTTATTTGCTTTTTCCTGTTGTTTTTGAAAGGAAGAGAGAGTGAGAGGTGTGCGGCATTCGTGGGTAAGTGTTGCCATTTCTATGCATTAAATACAAAAAATGAGGTTGGCATACATTTGATCATTTGAAATTTTGTCGGTTTTAATTTATTTTGAGAGGCAATTCGAAAAAACAAAACTGAAGTCTTTGAGGGTTTTTATAGAAAATAAATGTCCTCAGTGTCGGTAATATTTGAGAAATTCCTATTAGGGCTGAAAACCCTTGGGGAGTATATGAAAACTCCAGAAGGAAACATTCGCCATGTGTCAAAGTTCGTTGATATGGCATTATCATTTTTCTATTATACTTGAAGAGATTGCCTCATATCTTCATTTTTAGCTATTGTATGAGAAATTTGTTTGTATAAAACTTCAACCTGCTAGCTCGATTCCTTGTGTGTCCTTTTCGTACTTAATTAATTGAACCGGACTCAATTTGTCACAATATGTGATTTTTTCATCCTTGCAATGTTCTACAAAAATGTTGTTCATAAGATTTCAGGTGGGGTCCTTGAAGAAGAGAAATCGATATTTTAACGTTTTAATGGGGTTTTCTGAAGTTTGCCCGTTTCTTGTCACTAAAACCCTACACTCGTATTTATGTATTTCAATCTATTGGGTAAAAATTATTTATAATAAAACACATATATAGTTAGGCCGGTTTTCTAAAAATTTCTAAAAATTTGAACCGGATAATAAAACCGGTTTTAATACCGTATATTTATACCATTAGAAAGGTGATAAATAAGCGCGCTAAATTTATTAAACCGGATCAATATCGGTTTTATTACCTGAATTTCCGGTTCAAAAAATTAAGAAAAAAAAAAACGGTTCGTCCTCGATTTTTTTTTGCATATTTGGCCTAACTACATATGGATTATTATAAAGAAATGTCGGATTAGTTCGAATTTTTTTAGTTAGGCCAAATATGTAAAGAAAAAAAATCGTGGAAGAAAGAACGGGGGTTTTAAAATTTTTTGGCCTAACTATATATTCATTATGAAGAAATGTCGGATTCGTCCGAATTATTTACTAAATCATATATAGTTAGGCCAAATAGGAAAAAAAAGTTTGAGGAAGAAAGAACCGGTTTTCTAATTTTTTGAACCGGATATTCAAATAATAAGCCGGATTTAATACCTTATATGCATACCATTAGAAAGGTAATAAACAAACGCGCTAAATTTATTAAAGCAGACCAATATAGGTTTTATAATCTGAATAACCGGTTCAAAAAAAAAACGGTTCTTTTCTTCTCGAATTACCTTTCTTCGTCAATTTTTTTTGCATATTTTGAAAAAACATATATAGTTAGGCCAAATAAGCAAATTATGAAACGTGCTAAATTTATTAAACCGGACCAATGTCGGTTTTATTACCTGAATATCCGGTACAAAAAATTAAAAAAAAGTTCTTTCTTCGTCGAATTTTTGCATTTTTTGCAAAACATATTTGGCCAAATAAGCTATATATATATGCTTTAGGAAATAACCGGTTTTCTAAATTTTTGAACCGGATATTCAGATAATATAACCGGTTTTAATATCTTATATGCATAACAGAAGGTAATAAGCAAATTAGCTACATTTATTGAACCGGATCATTATTAGTTTTATTATCTGAATATCCGGTTCAAAAAAAATTAGAAAACCAGTTCTTTTTTACTCGATTTTAGTTTTTTTTTTGCATATTTGGCCTAACTATATATGTTTTAGGAAAAAATTCGGATTTTTTTACTTTCTCGAATTTCTCAGAAGATACAAATACCAAGTCCTTTTGATAACAGTTTTGTAGTGTAGTTCCCTTGGTTTGACATATTATCTATATATCTATCCCGTTGACTTTATATATATTAAAGGAAGGTTTTTTTTTTTTAATTTAATTTTTTAAATTTCTGAACATTTTTCTTTTACTAATATTCACCATTTGGTCATTTGTAGCATTTTTCTGGGAAAATTAAAAACTAATAAACGGCAACCCTGAATGATGGGTGTGTGTATACGTTTGTGGAAGAAAAATGATGCGATGAGGAGGGGTTGATGGGTGGTATATTTGTTATTTTTTATTGTTTAAAGGCCAATGTT